TTTAAACTGTTTTAAGCTGAGGATGGTGTTAACTCTGTTCCTCTTCCATGGCTGAGTCCCTGGCAGGTAGCAATTATACAACAATTTGCATTTCTAGTCTGGATTTGCTTTCTACAAATTCAGGGAGCTGAAATGGCCCAGCACAGGTGTCATGGGGAGAAAGGCGGTGTAGCTCTGGGCAGAGTAGGGAAGCTAACACAGCAAGCAGGGTCTGCTTACACCCCTATGGAGTCACAGGGAGTGCAAGAGACCATTTTGGCTCTCTGACTCTAAACATGCTTAAATGAATGCTATAAGCAATTTAACCTGAAGAGAAAAAATCTGCCCACACATTTCTGATCAGCTGATTTAAGATCTCTCAGCTCAGCATGCTTGACTGCTGGAAATCCAAGTGCTAAAGTCTCAATTTTGCCAAGAATTTCCTACCACTTACCACACCTTTGTGAATTTCTTCCCAAAACCAGATACCAGAACTAAAGCACGGCAATGCTGATCACTGGCTCACTTGCTACACTCAGTGGATCAGCTGAGATCCAGTCCCATGCACTCAACTGTGCTAAGCATACCTCCTATACCTTGCTGCCACTGGTCGGGCTCTTGGGCTACCAAAGCTGCTACCTAACCATTACCAAACAGGATAGAGGAGGTCCAACCTCCTTTCCCTTTGCAAGTGCACTCAGGCGGTGCTTGCTCTCCTCTAGAAAGCTGCTGTCTTAATGAACAAAGATGTCAAACCCCTACAAATTTGCAGTCAGTAAAATAAAAAAAGGACAACATTTCCAATGGGATGAAAGGGAAATTAACAGTGTAAACATCTGAAAATGCTAAGGATAGCGTAAGAAAAGTCAGCCACCTTTCACTCCAGTTAGCTGTATCCTGAATTTGATAACACATTTATGGACAGTTCTAATAAGATAATTAATATAGCAAGTAATATTTAAGACTAAACATAATCTCAATCCTTAACACTTCCTACACTTCCTAAAATACTGTAATGACACATGCTTAGGAGCAATCCATGTGCTGAAAGAATGGCACTAAAAGCCCAAATGTAAAAATATGACAGTAAGCAAGGACAAGAAATCACTGATGTTCTACTAACATGCACTTAAAAAAATCTCTTGACCAGGGAAATCAAATAATCACCAGAACAGTCTGCAGAGTAGAGAGACTCTATTTCACAACTTCCTTTGTGCTTCAGCATCAGGAGACTAGCTCTCAGGGGGAGTGGGCTATGGGTTTATGGATTTCCCATTTTTCACACTATTCCAGTTTACATCTTGCCACTGGTACTGTTACTAGTGAAGAATTAGCAAACCCTGGCTTTGGAATTAAAACAGGTACTAGAGACCTTGTTCCTCTTTCATGCCTTAATGTGTAGCCAAAGGCAACAGTAGCTAGCAAAAAAATTATGAAACAGTATGGTGGTTTCTGTACATGATAAAAAAAAAATATCTATATTTATTGAGAAACTTCATCATAAAAGAGCATGGTTAGCCACAGGCTGCTGAAATTTGAAATAGAGTAGTTTGATATAAGACATAAAAAAGACTTGAGAAGTGAGCAATTAAACTGAAGTTTCTGAATCCTAGGCAGCCGGCAAAACCCATCTGTACAATACAGAGCGACTGGATGCCTCCTGAGTCTCCTTTCAAAAGCTGCAGAGGAAGTTGTGCTGGGGAAGCATGCTGTGGGCTGAGATATTTGCCTGGTAAGCCTTGCCCAGCTCAATCTTTTGTGGCAGGAAGTTTCTCTTCCATGAAATTTACTTCTTCCTCTCTTCCCCCCTCCTCCCCTTTGCTAAAGGACAGCAAAAGTATAAGCAGCGTGCATAAAAGAAAGACTGGCAGCACCAAAACAGCTCTATGTTTTCCACCTCATTATAAGTAACTCCACGCAACTGATACTGTATTTGATTTTAGGGCTGAGCGTCCAGCACTTATTAGCTAAATTTTCAATGTTGCTGCTCTCCCCAGGTGAATCAAAATCAACCAAGGGTGAAGGCAGCAATGGGAAGGTGTTCAGCCTCACAACAAAGTATCTGAGATCCTTGGGAACAGTCATCCATTCAAGGCATCCATTACCTCCCCCCCAATTAACCATTCTGCCTTTTCTTTTCCATCCCCCATGCTCCTTCCATACTTTCCTTCTATATTTTGGGTTTGTACATGTTTCTTTAGTCCATGCACACATCACTCCACTATCCTTATTAAGAGAAAAAAACATTTTGCTGCCCATCAAACTCAGTAATCTATGAGACTGAACACCTGGTTTAAATCTTTCTAGTGTGAACACTTTTGTTATCTCTTTCTGAACTGTTGCCTTCTCACTCTAATCATCATCCTCATCGCAAATCAGCAGTTCTCTCTTTCTAAGGAGTATTGAACATCAGGAGATTGTTCCAGTCTCAGGAAGAGTAATAAGGGAGGCCCAAATCTCCTCACTTCAACACAGATCACAAATCTATTTTGTATAGATCATCTTCCTGTTCTGAAGCACAATACAATTTGAAGCCTGTTACACATGTTCATCTTTCACTGGTTTTAACTGAAGGCAAAGCCCTCAGCTTCCTGAGATAGCTCTTAGTTTCCTATCTAGATTATGATCAGTTTAAATCCATGCTCATCTATCAATATTGTTGATTATCTTAAATGCTTATTCACTTAAGCTTAACTCTACCCTGCCTTACTGGTTACTCCCAACCCTCCTCCATTTGCTTTTCCTAGGTTAATCAGACAAATATTCCTAGTGCACTCTTGTAGATAAGCTTTGTTCTCTCCAGTAGCCATCCTGGGTGTATTTCTGTACAAGTTCCTCTTTCCTGGACATGGTTTATCAGAACTGGACACAGTATTGTCTCACTAGTCACCCAGAAGCTTGACTGTGTGCACACCACAGTCACATTTGTTTTTTCCCCCAACTGCATTGAACTAGCAGCTTCCTTTTGGCATTGACTAATGAAGCCAAGTATTTTCCTATTACTCCGCTGGAGGGTTCCTGGATTTATGCTATGTATACTTATTAATCCACACATGCAGTACCTTGTATTTTGTGCTATTACATGTTCTTGTAGGCTCATTTCTATTACCTGAAGGTGTCAAGTCATCTACAGAAATGAGATTATTCATTGAAATCATTGCTCACTTCTGACTAGATTGACCAGGCCCTACAACATTTACAAATGGATTCTCACAGTCCTGTAAAAAAAAAAAATCCATGTTTGTCTTTGGTATTCAACATATTTGCAGATATGTGTCGCGTTCTCATTTTGCTTCAGTGGTTTTGGACTACACAGGCACTGCAAGAGGCCAGTGTATAATATTCTTTCTTGTAGACAGACCAGTGCTGTGGGCACTAAAAACACACAGAGGGAAAACCAAACAGAATGCCCAAGCAAAACACTAGAAAGCTTAAAACACTGCACATGGCAAGCATTTCACCAAAGACTCGGAGAGAGAACAAATGTGCTCCAAAAAGCCAGAAATACATTTGCCACCCAAAAGCTCTGGAAATATGAAAACGAGTCAACAACGAAGCAGACCAGAACTGGGCTTGCCTGGAAAGCATGCTGACACCTTAGACCTTACTTAAAATGAAGACGTGACAACACAAAGGGAAGAACAGCAGAATAAGAATAATAAGCAGCCCCAGGAGTGAGCTCCTTTCCTGACAGCTTTCGGAGAGCAACTGGTCAGCAAACAAATGGCTCTGACTGAAACTTAAGCCTCTAATAGAAAGAAAATCTTTTCTCCTTACATCAGATCATTCTAACCAGTGATGTTTCAGAAATTTCAAAAATGAAAAACCAAAAAAGGATTATGGAGTCTTATAGTAAACAGAGGAGCATACAAATGTGCATCTTTCCAGAGCACTACTGGTTCCCATGAGAAACTGTTACTATCATCTCATTAGCCATCTTCATTTTTGTTACTGTTTAGATGGAGTATTTTTCCCAAACTGTACCACCATCTTTCCTGGCCCTTTATCAGAGGGGGATGAGGGGGTAGCACTCATTAGTAACAAGAACCTAGCTACATCCCAAGCAAGTTTGGACCAGCATGACGATAGCAGTGCACTCAAAGGACACACTCGCAGGGTCGGTGCGTTGGACTTTATGAATCCCCGTTACTTTTGTACAAGAGAGTGGTATTAACACGGTGTTGGCCTCGGGCCCTCCGGAGACACCTCCGGCCGCCGGAGAAATGCCAGGTTTAAACCAGCAAGCACTTACCACGACAAAGCACCCTCCCCCAGCGCACCGGAAACGGGGAGCCTGCACAGGATTTCAACTCGGGCGGCTGGGAAACGCTTCTTCCCCCCCTCCCGCACTCCTGCCACCTACCGGGACAGGGGGCAGCACCGCCGCATCACCCTACACGCCCTGCAACCCCCATTCGCCGGTGCGACACCAGCTTCCATTCGGGCCACATGCCGCTCCCGAGGCCCAGGACCGAGCCTGCCGCAGCTGCCTCTGCACCGCGTCCCGGCACCACGAGCCCCGGACAGACATTTCCGGCCTCAGGGCCGCTGAGAGCCCGCCCAGCCCCGCTCTTCCCCACCCAGCGTTTCCATTGGTTCATCCCTCCAGCCGCGTGACCGCTGCACGGCCGCTGGTTGGCCCTGCTGGAAGCGCGTGTGGCGCAGCTGGCCCGAGGAGCGGGCTGCGGGGCGGGGGCGGGTCGTTGTCTCCACGGCGACAGCGGCGGGCGAGAGGCGGGGCCGCCGCCGCCGCCGGACGAGTCAGCTGCCGCCGTCGTAGTCACGTGAGACTGCTCGCGCCCGCCGGTTGGCCGGCTCCCTCCATCCTCCCCCCCTCCCGCGGGGGAGGTGCCACGTGACGAGGCAGCGCCCGCCCGCCTCCTCCCCGGGGCCCCTCCGCGCGCCGGCCGGTTGGTTGTTGCCGTGGCGACAGGGGCAGGAGGGGGCGTGGTCCGCGCCCCACCTCAGCCGCGCCGCAGCCCGTGAGCGCGGCCCCGCCGCCGGCAGCACCGCCCAGCAGCCGCCGCGGCCGGCAGCATCCGCCGGGCGGGAGCGGAGCGGGGGTGGCGGCGGCGGCGGTGGCGGTGGGCAGGGCGGGGCGGCCCATGGCGGGGGGGTGAGGAGGGGCCGTCAGCAGGTGCGGGTCGGACGGACGGGGACTCCGTCCGCGCTGGCGGCGGCGGCGGCGGGAGGATGCGCGAGTACAAGGTGGTGGTGCTGGGCTCGGGCGGGGTGGGGAAGTCGGCGCTCACGGTGCAGTTTGTGACCGGCACCTTCATCGAGAAGTACGACCCCACCATCGAGGACTTCTACCGCAAGGAGATCGAGGTGGACGCCTCCCCCTCCGTCCTGGAGATCCTGGACACAGCCGGCACCGAGCAGTTCGCCTCCATGCGGGACCTCTACATCAAGAACGGGCAGGGCTTCATCCTCGTTTACAGCCTGGTCAACCAGCAGAGCTTCCAGGATATCCGACCCATGCGCGACCAGATCATCCGCGTCAAGAGGTGACTTGCCTGCCGGCCTCTAGCTCCTCCGCCGGCCGCGCCCGACGCCCACCTGCGGCCCAGCCCGGCCCAGTGGGGCCTGCGGGCCGCCTGTCCCCCTCTCCGTTCCCTCCCGCGCAGGGCAGCCCCGCAGGGCCCGGATCTCCGGCCCGGGGGCTGCCCACGCCCTGCCCGCCGCCCACTCAGGTGCCTGCCCCGCGGTTTCCTTCCCTCGTCTCCCTCCTTCCCTGGAGGTGCCCCGGGTGGCGGGACCCCCTCCGGTGCTTCTCTCCCAGAGCCGGGCTTCCCCGGGCTGCGTTCCGCAGGGGTAGCGGAGTGGGGGGCAGGGGGCTCTGGCGGTTTTCGCTGCTCATCCCTCCTTCTCCCATCCCCCGTTCGCGTTTACGACGCGGTAAGTTTGGGGTGCTCCTGCAAGAAATATGGCAGACAGGCTGAGCACAGGCGGGCAGGCGGCTGTCTGTGCCATGGCTGTAACCAGCGGCGGAAAAGCAGTTCCCCCAGTATTACATCGGGTCTGTCCTCGACTGTACTTTCTTAGTGGACGTGCGGTAGCTGCTTTGCAAGGGAAGCACCTGGGTGTTTTCGTGCGGCAAGTGCCTCTAACGGCAGGTAGAGATTTGCCTTTTCAGATCCCTTCGTAGGTACCTCTGTGAACTTCCCACTCCTTTTGAAAGTGTAGAACGCAAGAGTCGGGGTAAAGACATGATGGCTGTGATCGTTAGGCCTTATATATATGCTAGTGTTTCTCTTAATTTCCCACGGTCATGCTGCCAGCTGCTCTGTCACGAGTGAATCCACAATGGTGAAACACCGGTGTATACTGTCAGTTTGTTTTTATAACCACTACGTTGTTTAGATATGCGTCAATCAGTTAGATGTCAGCAGCTGAAATGCAGCCAGTCATGCTAAAATAAGGGTAGACGTACTATTTGAAATCATAGCAACCATTTGAACCATAGCCTGGATGAGAAAATGCCACTGGCCACATCATCGCAGACAGAGATCTGTTATTGCCTGTGGAGAGAGGTTGTAATTATGTCGCAGAACTGGTTGCAGCTTTGGCTTGGACATCTGAAAAGGGTACCCTTGTAAATAACTAAGTTGGACCACAGCTGTTGGATTTGCATCTTAATGTAGAGTGGAGCATAAAAGGTGATAATGCCTAATCATATGGTTGGCATGGTCTGTTTGCAGAAACTACCATTCCAGACCCAAGGCCTGGGGAAGATGTATTTTAAAACTGGGGAGGAGGTCAAGCTGGGGAAAGGGGAGGGAGGAGACAAAGCAATGATATTTTTAGATACTTGCAACTCTTTTGTAGTAGGTGTTTCTTAATGCATGTCCTAACTTTTTCACTGGGGATTTCTTAATCCCAGTGTAATGAAGTTATTTTGGATTATAGTGGAATTGAATTTAATGTGGAAAATGCGTTTTCCATAATATTCACATATACCTTATAGAAGAACTTCTTTTTTTCTCTAAGTAGTTAGGGTAGACTTTAATCATTAATAAATACTTTTGATTTTTCCTGTATTAAATCAGTTATATAAACTAATTTATGAATGCTTAGCTGTGGCTTTTGCAGCTTGCATCGTGCCTTGCAATGGAACATCTGCATTGAGACCCCAGCTGACAAGCTGTAACTAGGTGAAGCAGAATAGAAAGCAACTTGTACTTCCATAGTTACATTGGCTCAGCACTGCTGACAGTGGGCCTAAATGCTGCTTCTGTCGTCTCTTACCGCAAGGCTTTAACTTTTGGCTTTTGGTTAGGTACCTTAGTGAAATGCAGGATTAAAACATGGCTTATCTGTCTTTCACAATGTAATCTAAAAGCAGCTGAAATCTTGAAAATATTAACAAGTCCTGAGTTGCAATTGAAATGGATATGCTCTTGACTTGCAATATTAAAAAGATGTAGTTTCAGCAAGTGTACTGTTTTTTTCCTTTTCAACTTGCCTCATCTTGTATTTGTGGGTTGTTGTGGTGTTGCTACGTTTTGGAACTTAAGTTTGCAGGTGGTGTAAGACAATGTGCTGCTGATTTAAGATTGCATCCTTTTTACCAGTTAAACTGGAACAATGCATATTTAAAGATTTATACCTGTGCAAAGACTTCTAAATTATAATTTATAGTTACACAAATACATTTAATCCATATTGAGAGAAAAATAATCATAGTCCTGTTTACTTGGGGATTTTGGATGAGATGTGCCTGAAAATAACAACTGTATGCTTGCACTGATACAAAAGCATAATCTGAAAATCTCTGAACTTTCATTGTTCTGGAAAACCAATTGGCTAGGTCTCTTAACTGTCGGGTATCTCTACACTTTGTGTTGTCCTTGCAATTTATTTTTTTTTTCTTAATGAATAAATCCTTGTGTTATTACATAATTAGAGAGTAATTTTAATTACTCTCCCATGAACTAGAAAAGACAGGTAAATTTCCTTCTTCAGGAAAAAGCTTGAATCTTCTCAAGCATGCTTGAGTCTTCCGCTTCCCTGATCTAACCACCACATTCCAGGCCAGACTAAGCTAAGGGAATCCTTCACTCCACCTGGTGAAGTTGAGTTACTTTACAGGAACAAATGACATCTTCATGAATGAAAGGGAGGAAACAAGTGGACCTTACTCAACTCTGAAGCTTAGCGATTAGAAGAGGCTGAAGTCATTCTTGCCAGTGTATTTCTGTTCTCATTAAATGTCTGTTTAATATTAAAAAAAATGCATAAATAGACTCGGAAAAGGACAGAAATCCAGGTCTCTCAGTTTACAGAGAAGGCTCTTATGGCAAAACTATGTAGTAAATCTTCCTTATGTACTGTGTAGCGTGGGAGCCTTGCATCCCTTTCAGTCATGGTGCACAGCTTTATCAAGAGTGGAGGATGCCTCCATAGCTTTTAAACAGGTAGTTGAAGTACTTTCCTGGGAATTGGTTTAAATGCAAACCATACTCTTATTTTTAAAGTAAATAAAATGTTTTTGTCTAGGTCTTTCTAAGAATGAGGCCAGGTGCTTTGCCTTCAGTGAAGGAGCCCTGTCAGTTCTGAGCAGATGGGTACACACCCAATAGCTCTGCCTAGACACAGACTGAGGAGAAGGAAAAGGTTTCATAAGTGCTCACTGTACTCTGGGACAGTTTCCCGCTGTGCAGAATGCTGCTGGCATTGGATGAAGGATCACGGTGGTGCAAAAATCACGGCTGCTGTTCCTCCTCCTCCAGATGCTGTATCTTACAATAGTTTCTACCCAAGAAGTTACTTGGCTGTAGCTTGTGTTATACAGAGCAATCTCTTTTGCAATCAGCTGTTCTTGCAGTGCTTGCAACTAGGCCTGCTTATCTGAAACTTGTGCTTTGGTATCAGGATGTGGGGGCCAGGAAACAGATGAAGGAGGATATGCCTCTGGCGAGTGAAGCTGTGGATGCCTTGTTTTGCTGGATGAGGAGTGTAATCAGAAAATAGGAGGACAGAGGGGTTGTGTCCCAATGTAGGGTGATGAGTTGTGCAGAATGAAGATGAAAGATTGATCTCTGGGTTTAGGAACCTGAGTGTCTCTGTGCTTGTTTGAAGGTGTTACTACTGATGGTGGTAGCTAAGTAAGCATTTTGGGAGCTCCTAATCACTATCCAATTGGCTGCTTATGTGAAATGAAGTGTTCCAGCCCCCATGATCTTAGGGTTTTGGGCACCTGGCACAAATTTCTGGATCCTACTTGTGCCAGATATGTTTATTAAGCCTTGTTTCCTCTGGTTCTTGCAAATGCTGGGGGTTTGTGCTGTTGGGAAGATGGGGTGTAAGTAAGCATAATATTTGTTGTGTGGTAGCTTTGAAGAGTACTTCTTACTTTCTGTATACAAGAAGGATAAAAGGAATCAGCTGCTGCTTTACTGCCTCCTGGTGAGATGTTATGCAAAAGATGTTACCTGTGCATTTGTAGATGCTACAACTCTGGGACCTTCTTTCCCTCCAAAATGGATTTGCAAGCTTGGCAGCCAAGAACAGTCTGTTTATGCTGCAGACAGAACTCGCTGTAGTTGCAGAATGAGCTGTTTTCTGGAGAAACCTTTTATTTGGGAGGGCAAGGCTAAACTGAGCAGCCCATGCAAGCGAAGATCTGTAGTGGAGGAAGAGCAGAAACTGTCAAATGAAACAGATTGGAACTGGTACACCTCAGTTAGGTATCAAGATCTAGAAATAAGTAGTGAATACGTAGGCTAAGCAGTGTAATTTTTTTTGTGAGTTTTTTGGTTGCTTTTTTTTTTTTTGGTGGACAAAAGGAGTTGGGTAACTAACACTTTTGTATTTGTCTTTTGTATGATTAGAAATTCTCTGAAGAGAATCTGCTGTTATTTATCATATATTGAATTTTAATTTTGGATATGACTTTGCCAATATTTTTCTTCCATGAAGGTATGTTTAAACCTTGTTAAATATGTATTCTAGGTACTTATGAAGCATTCAGTAATGTGATTTCTCAACCTGTCCTCCAGGCTTTAATATACATATTTTTAGTACAAACCCATGAAAGAGAAGAAATTTTTTTTCAATTTGAACAGCAAACTCAAGCACAGAAATAAAAAAGACCTCAAAATTTTTGGAGCTTATCACTTGCAATAGTTTCTCTAGATGTCTGACCAGTGCTTTAAAGACAGGAATGTTGTATTCATGTTTTGGAGACTCTTAACAGATTCTGCATAAAGCATTTCTCAAAAATACTATTTTATTTCCAATAGTGAAAAAAAAAACAAAAAAGCCTTTTTATTAATCTATTGCTCTTTTTCTGGAAAGCAAAGACCAAAACATTTATTAATTTAGAGTGGCTGAAAATGCAGACTAAATGATATGGGTATATTGCTAAGAAATATCACAGGAGTGTGTTTCAGAATTGAGAATGTTCTTTATGGTGGTGTTTGTTATCAGGATGAGAGCCTGCCTCCCAGTCTAGGGATTCTGTGTGGTAATTTAAAACATACAAGAGATGTAATTATTGAAATGT